AAAAAAAAAAAAAAAAAAAAGAAGGAATTAATGAGGCCCTGAGGAAGCCCCCCACTCTAATATCTAAATACAGGATACACCTTCATATCCCTCTGGACCATCCTGCCAAGGCTTACTCTAGAATTTGGTTTAAATGAAGATAAAGAACCTAGATGTAACCTTACATCACATGCCTAAATAAACAACTCCGAGACTTTTAATCAAATATCATCTACTGCTAGGCGCAATGGTTCAAGCCTGTAATCCCAGCACTTTGGGAGGTCAAGCAAGAAGATTACCTGAGCCCAGGGGTTCAGGACCAGCCTGAGCAACTTGGTGAGACCCTGTCTCTACACAAAATTTAAAAATTAGCTGGGCATGTTGGTGCGCCTCTAGTTCCAGCTACTTGGAAGACTGAGGAGGAAGGATCGCCTGAGCCCAGCAGGTTGAGGGTGCAGTAACCATGAGCGTGCCACTGCACTCCAGCCTAGGCAACAGAATGAGACTCCAACACAGATATATACATATATGTATCATCTATTGCCTGTCTTTTTGCACAACTCCAAGGCCAGGCCCAAGTGGCTTTGTTGCCACTTCCTAAAATAAAATTATATTCTTAAAAGCAACTCAGTTTTTCTAAGAAGAGTGGCAAAGGGTCATATCTTGTGAGGGTTAAGCAAGACTCTAATGTCAGTAAGAGAGTGAAAGATAAGGTCTCCACTAAATCAGTCATCCATTTTAAGGACCTTGCATTCTCCATCTTGGACCTACTGCACAAAGCTTGATTCTGCTAACCCACCTGATGGGATAAAAACCTACAGAGGCTGATGGATGCTCTGTCAGGGCTCAACCTGGACTTGGGGCTTAAAACACTGGCCAAAAGGAGAATAGTTGTTGACAAATCCATGTCTTCTTACCTGAACCAAGATGAGTTTCCTTTCCAAGGGTTTCCCATCTGGCCATTCTTCCCCAAAGCATAAGTAAATCTCAAACGGTGGCTGCTTCTCTATCTGTCCTTTTTGGTGGGCAATGAGATCTGCAGAAGGTAGAAGAGCAAATTTGGTATACTGGGTCATTCCCTATTCACTCAGTAAATATCATCTTTTATGTTGTCTAATATAATAACTACTGCCCACATGTAGTTATGAATTTTTAAATTAGTCAAAATTAAACAGTTCCTTGGTCACATCAGTCACATTTATGAGCACAACAACCACACGTGACTAGTGGCTACCATACTGGACAGCACAAATTTTAGAGGGTTTTATTAGACATCATTGATCTCAACTTGGGGTTCAAACCACATTGTAAAATTCACATCTCAATGTTCTCTCTAAAATTGTCTGCTTGAATTCCCCACTCAGATATTTCCCAAAAGAATATGTGTTCTGCTGAATATGATGAACAGGAAGCCCTTTCAAAGTTAAAGATAAGCTGGTAATATTTGGGGGATATTGACAAAGATCTGTGCCTAGTCAGTAAAGTGAGTGAGAGAAAAGGAAAGGGGGGATCAAAGATATACTTCCCACCATCAACCTTCTGAAAAATACTCACCACTAAGGAATGTTTCCAGACAAAATAGCTTGACCTTCTTTTGTCTCTCAATCAGGTTGGGGGCAACAAGTGATGGGGCACATGGCCCAGACCAGTACACCTTGCACTGGCATAGCCTTATGGCATAAATGGCGTGACCGCTGACCTCCAGGATCAGTCCTCTGTCCATGACGTCCAGCAGCTTGCTGGTGAACAGCTTCTGCTTCTCATTGGTGATATGCTCTGGACCTGGGAATTTGACCTGCTCCAGGCTGACGGGACCAAAGAGCTCCTCCTGGTCAGGCATGGGACCCAGGTCCCCATAGAAGAGCCGGCAGCCCTGAGGGTTGCTTACAGTCATGGTCTGTCCGTACTCCTTCCCACGGTACTGAAACTTGATGTCCAGATCAGTCACTGCAAGGTTAGAAACAACACTGAGAGTCCTGCTTTGCTGCTCTGCCCATCTATCCCTATAACTCATGCAAGTCCAGTAAGATCAAGCCACCTGCCAACCAGCATTCAGGAAGACTATTGCCATGGTTATTCTCCCTGCAATTAAGGGAGATATCATCAAACCCTTGAAATATTCACTCAAAAGGCAGTCTGGAAGTAAACAGTTCAAGGTCCATCTATACTATCTCTGTTTAATCATCACACCCTAAAGGCTAGAATCTCACCAAGCAAAGTGGTCCTTGTATCTCCATGCTATATAGTTTTCATATCAATAGGCACGGGAAGGAACTAAACACTAAGGTGTCTGGTTTATGTCTCATTTTTAGCTCATTGTTTAAAGACCCAAGTCATTTTTCCTGAAAATTACACCTGTGAGTACATAGTGGAGATCTGTTCTAATAATATACCATAAAAGGACATGGTTCACAACAAAGTTAATTTTTATTCAGAAAATTTCCACTGAACCCAGTAGGCCTTATCAAAGCTATTTAGTCTCTTGAACAAAATTTTAGCAGTCATACCACCACCATGTTTCATATGAAAGGAAGACCCAGGCAATGACATTTAGTCTTCATTAAGATCATTTGTACCAAATTCAGTCAGTTTCCCACCCCTACCCCCTGCCCTGGATCCTACCAAACCCCCCTCTCCCACCAAATCCAAAAGCCTCCTCAACCAAACCCATGGGCATTAACTTCCCTATCCCACAACTGGCCTTGTCACTAAGTCCCCTTTCCAGATTGATAAACCCAGACCTCCCACCCACCTAAGAGATGAGTAACCTGGAGCTGTTACTAGTCAGAGCATCTCCATGAGTAAGTAGGTTTAGGCCAATGTTTCTTTCTTTACTTCTTCCCTGGTGACTCATCGGCCAGCCAGGAAACAGAAGGCACTTGTGGGACAGGTCGTTTGTCTATATATGGCAAAGAAATGGAGGCAGAAGGCAGGATAGGAAAGGATCTGTAATAGGAGAAGAGTCAGCAAGAACAATCAGGGCTCACTTACTTGGGAGAGAGCTGATCCACAGCTCTGGAGAACTGTAAAAGGGCTGTATAGGTGCCTGAGGTACTTCCATCTCCAGGGGTTCAGTTTTGGGCCACACTGCCTCAGGGCTGCAGTTGCCCACACTGCAGTTGCCCACACTGGCTGGTGCCATGGGAGAACCTAAAGCAAAAGAATATGGTGAGTAGGCAGGGGCACCACACATGCACATCAGCTGGTCTGAGGCTCTAAGAACTAACAAGGTCAGTAGACAAGAGTCAAACACTGAACCATGAGCTGTATGATCTCCCAGGCCATCAATGATTCCCAAAACTAACACAATAAAAAATAGGAGGCCAGGTACAATGGCTCATGCCTGTAATCCCAATACTTTGGGAGGTTAAGGTGGAAAGATTGCTAAAACCCAGGAGCTCAAGACCAGCCTAGACAACACAATGAGACCCCCATCTCTACCAAAAAAAATTAAAAATATTAGCCAGGCGTGGTGGCACACACCTGTAGTCCCAGCTACTCAGGAGGCTGAGGTAGTAGAATCACTTGAGCCTAGGAGTTTGAGGATGAAGTGAGCCATGATCGTACCACTGCACTCCAGCCTGGGCAGCAGAGTGAGACCCTGACTCAGAAAAAAAAGAAAAGAAATATGGTTCTCCTGCTTCTGCTTCCTAACTATATTATTCTCCCATAAACTCACAATTTTAAAAACTTTGTTGAAGATTAACATACAGACAAGTGAGTTTTCTCTCTGGGTTAAATCAGAAGGGACAAGGAGAGATTCTGTATTGTAAGATTTGGCCCCAGCAATTAAATAAGAAGCTGGTTTTCTTCCATAAAATGAATTCAACTGAATTGATTGGCATTGAGTAAGTGTTAATGTATAGAAATTCCACTAAAAACAAGCAAATACTTTTTCAGTCATTAAATGTCTGGAAAAGTCCTCAAGAACCTAGAAGGATCTGCCTTTTCTAGGGAAAGAACTAGAATGGTAGGGGACAGAATAGAAGTAAAACCTTTCAATGGATTACATTTTTATACCATTGTGAAGTTAAAGTATTGTTTATTCAAAAGTATCTAATTAAAGCTTTAAATAAATGAGAGAGAGAGAGAGAGAGAGAGAGAGAGAGAGAGAGAGAGAGAGAGTGTGTGTGTGTGTGTGTGTGTGTGTGTGTGAGTTAAAAACCTATCCTATTTCTCTGCTTTTGTCAAAGTTGACTTGCTCCAAAGTCTAGAGATTTCTCCTCCTGGCCTCACCTCTTAGGCATCTATTCTTCAACAATTCTTCTTCCTCTGCCCCAACAGCTCTGAAATCACAGAGGTTAATGTTTCTTTGACCCTTTGTGTACAAGTATGGTTAAATCTACATTCCCATTTTACTTTTTTGTTTTTTATATATACTCTACAACTTTCCAAAAAAGGATCCAAGGTAGCCCAAAACACAAGGATACACAACATTAACTTTAATAAAATATAAACAGAAATAGGAAATCAGGATCCTGGAAACAGATCGCATCTTTTCAAAAGGTGAGAATAACAGAATGAGTCAGTCAATAATTTGGGAAAGGATCTCACATTTCTAGATGTCCAAGTCTTAAATTTTGCCAAATAGGAATGTAGCATGTGACAATATTGGCCTGGAAGATCTCTATGAAATTTCTCTTTACCCATTGTTTGGTTTCAAAGATATAAGTTGTAGGATAAATGAAGCAGGGACAGTGGATAGAAAAGAGTCATTTCCTGATTCTCAGATGTAGTGGCATCTCCTAGAGCAGTGTACCCCAAAATCTTAAGAAATCATATTGGTAGTATTAAATTTTATAGGTGGCCCATGTTATCTCATTTTGACCAATAACAGCCAGAGAGTTCTAAAAAGCTAGTGAAAAGCGGTTCAGCTGGATGCAAGCCATTTGAGCAGGAGCAGTTTAGTGGACAAATGAAGGGAAGATGCCACAGAAGAACAATTCCACTTGTGTGCAAGAATCCTCAGAAAGTACAGTGGGAGATTCAGCACCTGCTCTGTCACACTGTGGAATCCTAACCTCTCGACTCATTTTTCCTGGGATGCTGAATTCCAAAGTTCATAAGAGAAGAGAAAAGTCTCATGTAGATAAGCTCTATCAGAGCCTAGCCTTCACAGCTATGGAAACCATAAGTTTCCCATAATACAGCCTAAGCAGAGTGGTCTCTGTTAATAAAGTAACATGGAATTTTTACCAAGGGAAATACTGTAAATACAATTCATAGAAGTGACGTCTACACTTGACCTGAAAGAAACTGGCACAATCTATAACCACTGATATATCTGTATGTCGGATTAAGAATGAATTTAAACTTTTTATTTATTTGAATTATAATTTAATATTCTGAAGATGTTCTCTATGTCTAGAATCCACCCCACTGTACCAGGATAACAGAGCCTGTGGAGTTCCCTCACCTATGACTCCTGTTTGCTAACAGAACAGCTGCCTGGCTGCCAGGGCCAATCCTGCTCCCAGGGCAGCAATGCATCGGCAATTCCAAGGCCCCTTACATCCTCCTTATCCCCTCTGTACCACTCACCACCCCCACTCACCATTGATGTTCAGGAAGGGGAAGGTGTCCTGGATGGGAACATGGTGCTGCGACTGATCAAGCTCATCTTCCTCATCTTCTTCATCCACATCATTATCCTTCTCATCCCAAGGAGCAGACCCTGTGGATCCTACCAGAGACACACAAACCCACAGGTGAGACGTTTAGGTTTCACTGCCATCCCTGCAGCTGACTCACCATCCAAGCTAGGGTCTGCTGGCCCAGAGGCTCCTTGGTTTTCGTACACACCCTCAATTCCCTAGCTAAAAAGAGAAAAGAGTGGGATTCAAGGGAGTACTAACCCTAGTTCCTACTCTTTCTATAGAGCCCTGGTGCAGGCTCTCTTCTCTTCTCCTATTTGGGAGTTACAGACTCTACTTTCTTCTCCTAGAAATCTCTGACTCATTAGCGTATTTACACATTAGCTTTTTACACACTAGCATCCCCTTTTAAGGACTCAAGGACACCAATTTCTTATCCTCATAGGCTTAATGTAACAGACCCCTCCCTCAAGGTAGAGCCTCCCTAGATCTGTTCACTGGAGTACACATATAGATTATCTGACTCTTAGTACTTGTTAAGCATGGATTGAATAGGAGGATCAGGAGGATTCTCTTAGTCAAAGTATCTATAAATTAAATGATCACTTACCTAACATTTACAGAGCACTTAATATTACCCTGTTCTTATCACTGTATATTATATAATCGAAAGATCACTATGTACCCCATGAATAAGTATGATTATTGTCAATTTTAAAAATAATTATAAAAAAATGACTTAATAGCTTTTACATGTCATGTCTCTTGATTCTTACAATAGCCTTTGAAGTAGGCAGTAAAGATGAGATCCCGCATTTTAGAGTTGAAGAAACTGAGGCTCAAGAGGTCAAATGACACTGGGCTCCATGGCTCAGCCTATAATCCCGCGACTTGGGAAACCGAGGTGAGTGGATTGCCTGAGCCCACGGGTTCAAGACCAGCCTGGACAACTTGGCGAGACCTCATCTCTACAATAAATCAAAAAAACTAGCCAGGCGTGGCAGCGCACACCTGTAGTTCCAGCTACTTGGAAGGCTGAGCGCAAGGATTGCCAGAGCCCAGCAGGTTGAGGCTGTGGTGGCCAGGAGTGGCCACTGCACTCCAGTCTGGGTGACAGAGTGAGATTCCACTCAAAAAAAAAAAGAGGTCAAATGACTTGATTCAAGTCCCAAAGTAATAAAATGATAAGAGCCCAGCTTAGAACTGAAGGCCTTCTAAGCTTTAATTCCTTCTCCTTCAAAACTACCTGTCTTCTTGAGTCCCAAGAAAGGCTATTTTTACAGTAGAAATCTATACCTCCTCTACTTTCTCATGCTTTAAGTAATCATGTGAATAACCATTCCCCTAGGATTTTCCAGAGTTTACATCTTTTGTTCTCTGGGTCTTTCCTGGGGAAAGACTTTCTTGCTTTACTGTACTTAAATTTCATAGGCCAAGCTATTTTCAAGTTGGCTATTTCTTTAAGAATCCAGTCCAGAATGTGTCATACTGCTTACCTTCTGCTGGGCACCTGGAACCTCACCTGGGTTAATGATTGAGCCTTGGGGCTGGGGTATGTCACACACTTGATATATCTTCACTGGGTTCATGGGCACCTCCTTTGTGCCATCATACATTAGGTTGAATTCCCTGCTCTTATTGAGAGCACAGCGTAGCTGGGCCTTCCATTTAGCTGGGTCAGGGTCATCTACTCCTTCCTGGTACTTTCCCGTCTCTACAGCCCAGGCCTGAGGAACAGGAAATTGCAGTGAGTGTCTACTATTTTCCAGAACCACTGCAAAGCATGTGCTCACTTTTTCTCATGCACACACACCCTCACATGACTGCCCCACCATCCCAACTCCAATTTACAGAGACTGCATCAGGAAACACTGCCCTTAGGACCAAGCAAGGTAGGGCCGAGGGAAAATTAAGCCATGTGCAAATATAATCTATTGAAAGGAGGAGCCTTATCTCAAGCATTGGTACCAGCACCTGTCACAGGGATGATATAATAAAGGATTGAAAGAAAAGTATGGGGAAGATATGCACCAAATGGTAACTATGGATAGCAGAATTTCAGGTAACTTTTTTTTTTTTAGTTGGAATCTCATTCTGTCACCCAGGCTGGAGTGCATGGTGTGCTCATGGCCACCCCAGCGTCGACCTGGTGGGCTCAATCAAGCCTTCTGTCTCAGTCTTCCAAGTAGCCGGAACTACAGACATGTGCTACCACGCCCAGCTAATTTTTTTATTTATTGTAGAGATGAGGTCTCACCAAGTTGCCCAGGCTGTACTTGAACGTGTAGGTTTGGCAATCCTCTCACCTAGGTCTCCTAAAGTGCTAGGATTACAGGCTTGAGCCACCACGCCTGGCCTGCTTATCCATTTTTGATGTGAGTTGCTTATATAACAGTAAGTATGACAAATGGGGATCACAGATGATATGAAGTTTATCCTTGCTGGGCACCTCCCTTCAGTCATCAATCTGATGCATAAATAAAGAACTATAAGACAGGCACAGTGGCTCATCTCAGCACTTTGGGAGGTGGAAGCAAGAAGATTGCCTGAGCCTGTGAGTTTGAGACAGCCTGTACAACTTAGTGAGACCTTGTCTCTACAACAAATCAAAAAATTAGCCATGGTAGTGCATGCCTGTAGTCCCAGCTACTTAGAAGGCTGAGGCAGAAGGATCACCTGAGCCCAGCTGGTCAAGGCTGCGGTAGCACGATTGTGTCACTGCACTCCAGTCTGGGCAACAGAGTAAGACTCCAACTAAAAAACAAACAAACAAACAAAAAAACTGTAGAAACCATGTACCTTTAGTAGAACACAAAGCACACTCTGGGAGTTCAGCTTGTACCATTGGCTGAGGGCCTCAAGTCCTAATAAACTCACATCTCCTATCTTTCCCTATGCCCTGAAACTCCTACTTCATTGGAAACATCATGCTGTCAGCCATACCAGTGGCTGGCAGCATGGACTAAAACCACTTTGACTCCTTTTCTCTGGTTTTCAAATATGGAAACTCACAGCACTTACCCCAGACAAGGAGAACAAGGTGGTCTCCCCAGTGAGGAAAAAAATAAATTTAGGCTGCTCATGCCATAGACCAAGGTTCTCAGCAACAAAGCAGGCAGTAGAACCCAGACCTACTCCAGGTCCAATTGGCATTTATGTTTCTGCTCACAGATATCCACTCTCCCCCACCACTAATGTATTCCGTAATCTTTAAGCTTTGTCCAGGAGCTTAACATGTTCTGATGCAGAAACTTTCATTAGTAGAGAACTCAAGATGAAAAATACACACCAACTTTTTCAAGCTGACAGGGCATATCACTTCACCAAACCCAACTCCCTGCCTCTGATTCTGAGTGTAGACTACTTCCTCAAGCTGAAATTGAATTCCTCTGCCCCATTTTTTGAGATCTCTGATATCCTTCAGTCACCCACTACAGAGCCTCACAATCATGAAGAAGTTTCTTCCAACAGCAAATGTAAATCCTTCTGTTCCCATTCAGATTCACTTCCTCTTACTGTCTTCTTAGATTTGGGTTCCTCCATTTGCTTTGTGGCATGAAATGAAGTTTGACTACCTTGTTCTGCCCTAGGTGGCTTAGTGGGAACTGGGGGACCTAACTGCTGTTCCATTCCACCCAACCCCTTATACTGGGGGTGCCAAAAAAATATATATACACATTTCAAGAGATATTAAGAGATGTTTGTTGTAATCAGAAGTGTCTGGATGCTGAGGGTAACCACTTTGAGCACCTTTTGTAATTGCAGAAGTCAAATGTGACTTGTATTCATCTTATTGCATATTAAAATTTTAATACAGTTTTTTTTTCCTTTCTTAAAATGTGTATACCTTTTGGGGGCATCCTCTGTATATAGGAGATATAGGAGATTTCAACCTCACTGCTTCCTAGTATACGGGAGGCATATCTCTAGTTACTTGGTGGTACCTGGCTGCTGCCTTCCGTCATTTTCCCTTCTATTTGTTTAATCCTCTGTGCCCATGCTCACTCTAGCCCCACGCAGCCAACTTGGGCTATGCAGACTTTGGTAGATGTCTGCACATTTCTGTGGTTCCCTAAAGCCCTGCCCCTTCATGGAGAGCAGCCAAACTAACCCTGTCCCAGCTCTTCTGCTCATGGCACAGCCATTCCCCAGGGCCCACTTAGATGACACTGAGGACCCAAGGATAATGCAGCAGAGGGTTGTACCCTTGAAAATTGGAACTTTAGAATCAAGAAGTGAGAGCCTAAGAAGTACCATGTGGCAGTCATTGTGATTTATAAACATTACTTGATGAAACCCACTCTGAGTCTTGCTTCTGACAGATTCTGATCATTCTGTAGGTCCTTATATCTCTTCCTAAAAAGGAAATAATCTTGCACTTTTGTAGTGCTTTACAAATCCCTTCCCATACTGTATTCAACTCAATTCTCACAATAATCCTATGAGGCAGGCAAGAATGGTTTCATCCTCATTTTACTAAGAGAGAAGCTGAAACCCAAAGAGGAGACATGATATGCTCAAGGCCCCACAACTGATGATCGTAGGATTTGAGGCCAGGTCTTCCAATTCCTGATTAAAAGGGGGCAGTCTGATGGCAGGAGGGAGAAGGGAACAGAGAGACATGGGTTCAAATCCTGGCTCCACCGCTTATTGACTGTGTAATTTTGACAAGTTACTCAGCCCCTCTGAGACTCAGTTTCTGCATCTACAACATGAAGGTAATAACTCCCTTGTGGGGCTGTCATGGGAATTAAATGAGATAATGGGCACAGATACCCATTACCATTTAAAGCTAGTGTCCCATCTGCATTTCCTGCCATCGGAACTTGAGATCTGTGAAAGCATCCTTACTCTTCTCCCAACTTCTCAGACCCTCCCTCCACATTCTGCAAACAGATAAACAGTTATAAATAAAGCAAAACTGCCTTCCCACACCCACCCTTTCCTCAAACCCCAAGCATAAAGATCACGTTCTTGAGTGGGGCTTTCAGGAACCTGCCACTTCCCCAGGACACTTTAACAGCAAATCTATTTTCAGACCAAGGCCACAAGAGGCCAACTGGGCCATCACTGACCTGTTCTCTTCTAAATGCTGACTCCAATAATTGGTACTGGTTTATAGACATTTTCCTTATCACTTTTATATCATTATTTAAAATAGAAATGTAAAGTGCTTATTGACTTTCTTTCTAAGTAACCTCAGGCCTATTTTCTTTCTGCCTCTCCTCTCTACACCTGACATAACTAAGCTGGGTGGGAAAAATCTCTAGGATGGCCTTCCTTGGAGTCCATATTTTCTGCCATTTCCTGATCCAATCTTATCAATAACCCAGAGCACAAATCTTGAGAGGCCCACTGTAGAGACTGGATTTCACTGGTGACATGCTCACTTCTCTGAATCTTGAGGGTGCAGGAACTAAAGCTACTCAGGAGATGGAAGGGACCAGCAAAGAGAAGTTGGTCTGGAACAGAGGCACAGCCTTCAGAGTTACAAACCACATGAAACTCTTTCCCACAATCAGGCTGTCCACCTACTTCTGTCTTAAGTCAAGATCTGGTTTTAGTTAAATGTTGTAAAAAGCTACATGAGCAAATCTTGTTTTCATAAATAAATAAAATGACTTAGTAAAATAAATAGACGATCATATCAGAGCTGTTTTTAAGAACATGCGTTTACAAAATAAAACTTATAATTAAATCGTCTTTAATTTTTAAGCAGAGGTTATAGATAGGGCAAAATATTTTAATATCAAAAGAAAAACTTGCTGAGGGCTCTCTATACCCCTCCCACAGGATATGTTAAGAGCCTGCTAACCCCCAGTAGTTCTGTCCTGGTCTGGACATCTCTCCCCAAGCCCAAGTACCTCTCTCCATAGCAACAGCCATGGGTGAATGAAGGGGAGTCAACTGCTGACCCTTGGCAGTTTTTGAAACAATTACATAACTATAATCACTTATAAGAGTTTAGCCAATGCCACCTCATATCCTCTGGGACATGAGGTGAGTACCTTCAACCAGTGGGAAAGAATAAAGGGCTCCAACCATTGTAGACATGCCACAACAAAAGGAATTGCTATGCCTGCTAAGTTTGGGCACCCCCCCCCCATCATAGGCATTCTCTCTGTTTCATCAGAGTTTTGGATATACGTATATTCCCCATGTCAAAATACAAAAAAAAAGAAAGAAAGAAAGAGAGGTCTGAGAAAACTGGAAAAAAATGTAAGTCAGATGGTAGAAGAAGTCCTTTACCTTAAAAATGGTATTTTCCTCCTCTTGTTGGGGGCTATGCCGGGTGGCATGTTTCCAGGGAATCTGGAAGCGTTTGGAGTCCCTGTGTAGCCAGATGAGTCCCGGGTACAGGCCACTATCCACTTGGGCCACCAGCCAGGGCTTTAGCCGGACTCTGCGGGGGTGGAGGGCCATGATCTGGGGGTTGGGGGGAAAAGTGGGAAGAGCAGAAGAATTAGGCCAGCCACACTGGGAACTCTTCCCAGCCACCATTCCCGTATGATAGAGCTACTGTTTCACTAGATTACAGCAAAGAAACTAAATAGGGGAATACACTGTGCCAGGTGGGAAAGAAAAGAACAGGGGTTAAAAGGTTCTTTTGATTCTTAGTCCAAAGCCATTTATACTTCATGCTCTAGCCAAATCGGACTTATCATGCAAGTAGATCACATTTCTTCTATTTAAATCCTGAAGAAGAAAAATAAAAAGGTGATGTCATCCTGCTGGAACACAGTCCTTCCTGAAGTACCAAGGGCTTTGGGAGAGAAGGGAAATTGCTCTTTTTAATCTCATCTCAGGAGAGGAAAGAAAAAAGTTATAGAAATAGCAAATATAGGGTGGGAAGCATGTTTTCTTTTTAAATAAGATAACTAAAACTAAAAGTGAATAGGAATATTTCAGTAAGAAATGACACCATCGTGGTGAGAGATAAGTAGAAGAAGGGTGGGTCCTGGACTCCAAAGTCCTCACTTACATGGAAGAACAGGCAGTGTCCCTGAGGATCTGAAGAGTACCACCTTGAGTTGGCTTGCTTTTTCCTTCAACACCCAAAGGTTCTGCACAGAGAAAAAGGGGTCTCAGCTGGTTATCCACAAGACAGTCCAGTGTCCAAAAAGCTTAAGAATATTGAAGACAACAGCTCTGAGAATACTTCCCCAAAAACTGAGTCTGGTAAAGTTCAGAAGACCTAGAATCATTAAATACCACAGTTCCTAAACCTAGAGTACAAATAACAGTCACAAAACAAGCCGTGCATGGCTAGTACAGCCTCCTCACCTGGGTCTGTTGATCTTACCACAGAGGCTGGAGTGAACTGATTAGCTGCAGGAGCCAGCCTGGGTAAAGTCTACAATTGATTCTCATAAAAATACATGGGCATAGCAGATAACATTAGACAGCAGCCGGCATGCACAGCAGAAAACAAAGGCCTGCCTAGATTGGGCACCTGAAGGAAAAACCTATTACTAGAGAATTGTTTGCCTGGGATGTCGTGTTTGAATTTTTTGGTGTTCTTATTTTGTTTCATTTTTACTTAAAATTAGAAAAGGATGCCTGGAAAAAGATCACTCGTTCAACAAATATTTGTTAATCAGCTACTGTGTGCCAAGCACTGTGCTAGCTATTAAACACTAAGGCTCAATGTTTTCATTAGACTTTCCTTCCTGAGGAAATCCACACTGGAACATCTCAAGTCCCACAAGGACCTGCAGAGGAAAGGAAGATAAATAAGTCACCTCCACACCCAGAAGATCCCTACCAGGATCACAGTTCTGAAACCAAACCACTTGTATCAGCTGAAGCCTCCCACTCAAAAGAGCTTAGCTGAGGGAGTGGCCCCTAACACCACATCTCTCCCTAACCAGACTCCCAAAAAACCATGAAAAGCCCAAACCCAACTCAGCCACTGGCACTTTAAGAGCAAGACAAGACCTGCTCTCACCTGAGCCTTCTGACCCAATTACCAAGTTCTGCAACTGAAACCTTCCGCCTGGGAGCACAGCTCACAGTGGGCAGGTGAGGTTGGCATGCAGTGTTCAAGTGCCTCCACATACTTGACTTTGGTTTAGGGTATTTTGCAGGGCAGCATGTGAAGCCATCATACCATGGAGAGCATGTATACCTTATAAGGAGGAGGGAGTGCATATTCTCTTAAGGGCAAGTTCTACCTTCTCCTCCCCAGTCCGAGCCTTACAGGAAGGGGGATGGGGCAAGGAAAGAAAAAAGAGAACAGTGAAATAGACAGTAAATCAGTCAACCTAGTAAAGGGCTTTTGAGAATTTCTATTGAAATAACTGGTAAGTCCTGTGTCTGGGCCTGTCAGCCACATGAAATCCACCTCTTGACTGATTGTGTACTTGAAGAAAAGAGCTTATTGTAGTTGATCTACAGTCGATCAAGACAAAATTAAGGCAACCAAGCCAAGACCAAGAACTTTAACTGGTGATGGGGAAGGAGAAGCAGCCACCCATAGAGATCAGTGATTAAGATCTAGAGCCCTGGTTTCTCAGTGTTCTCCTAAGATGGACTATATATGAGCAGCCCCATGGAAGGAGCCCCAGCCTGCCCTCCTCTGTACCTGGACCTGGACCTGTCCCTTGCCCATGCCCGTGCCCTACCTCCCTCACCTTCTAAAAGTCAGCCAAAATCTCTCCCACTCAACACCCAGTTACTACAACTCTAAAAACAGGCAGAGAAAGAAAAATTGAAAACAATCAAAATGATTGAGAGAGGCATAGTACATTGTGTCAGGTTCACAGGCTGTAATATCAAACAGCCATTAACAGCAGGTGTCAAATAATGTTTACTGGATTTGGAGAAATGTTTACAATATGAAGTTAAGGAAGGGGCAATACAGCATACAACATTGATTGCATAGTAGTATCTCCATTTTGTAATATAAAATACACTTGTTTACATGCAGACATATACACAAAACTAAAAAAGGGAAACACACCAATGCAACAAGACATTGCAATGTAGTGATGGGATTATAGGTATTTTTATATTCTATATATTTTTATATAGAATTCACATTTTCTTACAATGATATGTTTAATTTATAATTTTTAAAAATAAAAACCTACAAGTAGTATTTCTTTAGCCTCAGGACAATAAGAAATTTCTTATGAAGCATGGTAACCTTCATATCTGCATAGGCTTTATGGTTTATACATGCACTTAATGTGTCTGCTTTCAGCCTCATGAACCTGTACATGGCATTATTAACCCCAGCTGGGTCAACTGAGACACAGAAAAGTCAGGTGCTTTTCTGAGACCCAGACCTAACACTCCTGAGTCAGGGCGTGCTGTACCAAATCTTGCCACTACACCCTGCCTTCCAAGCCCTTACCATCTTCAATGCACAAAGAGAGTAAACCAAAAACACATCAAAGATCCCAGTAACATGGAGGGCCAATAAAGTTATTGGATTGGAGACTGTATGACACCCACTCTCAAACACACCTAAATCATAGTTCTCTTTCTAAACACTCTTGCCACCCAAGTCCCAATGCCTGCAGAACAACCTTAGCCTAGCTTAACTCAGCCTTGGTATCTCTAGCTGCCATCACAGCAATATTCAAGGTCTGTGTCTCTAACAGGTATTTAACCAGCCAAATGACAAAGACGTTAACCCATCTACACCTCTCTCACTGAGTTAGAGCAAGGGACACTTTCAACCTCCCTAGGGCACTAACTGTTGTCTCTCACACCCCCATTACAGGAAACAGGACCTTTATAAATACCCCCACTGCCACCTCTGCATCCCTTGCCCAAACTAGTTTCCACAGGACACTGGCACCCAAAAGCCAAGATTCGGCCATCGGTGTTTTTCTCAGCGTAAAACACACACACCATTCCTTGTAGATAGGTCTTAGTGGTAGTCCTATTTTGTTTCCCCTTCCTCCCGAAGGAAAGTGAAATACCATTCTCAAAATTCCTTAGGCCTCCCTCTATTTAGTTCAGCCCCGCTTAGGGGTGAACTCTGGGCCTATAGCCATATTCCCCTCACCCTTCTTTCCTGAATGGAAGTTGGGGGATGGTGAAGAGGAGTTGCAAGGTATTGGGTGCTATTGCCATGTATCATACACACATCTAACCCTAAACTACTCTCTTGGGTCAGCACCAGCCTTTCCAATCCTACTCAAGCACCTTTTCCCACTGCCTCTTTTCCCTGGTTTCCACTCTTGACATCCGCCAAGAGAACACATTGGGGCAGGTTCACCCCTTTACCACAAAGCAGGCTCCCTATAAAGAGTGGCACCTCAGGCCTCCTTTGCAGTCAAGCCTGGGAGACTTTCCCCATTTCTCCACACCCGCTCGCCAGCCCCTTTAGGCAAAGAGGGCCTCACCCCCGACAGCAACCACACCCCGGCGCCACCCTCCCCAACACCTAGCTTGGCTCCTTGGAAATCCATGGAGATCTCCCCGGCCCAGGGCGAAAGGCCTCGCTGCTAGACAAACTCAGGGAGGGAAAACAAACCAACCAAAAACCCCAAAGCTCCTGACCCCCAATTTTTCAAAACGCCCACCAAGACCAGCGGCCGACGGACCTGGGAAATCCCCTCTCTGGGACACAGGGACCGGTAACAAGCAAGTTGGTAAGACTTGGGGCGGAGTGGGAGGGGAGGGGCTAGCTCTATCGGATGGTGGGGCGGGTGGGGGCCAAGAGCAGCGCCCTCCTTTTCGGCGAGGGGGCGAGAGAAGAGTAGACTTAAGTGTGGTATCGAGAGGGGCCTAGCGCTATAAAACTGAGATCGCCGCAAAGCTACCTGGAGGAGGGCGACAGGGCACCCAACCCCAGTGGGTATCCCCCCAAAACACGTATGTCCCCAAGCAAGCTCTCCCCCACCCCCAAACTCTGGGGCAGACGCTTTCCCACTAGCGGGTGAGCCTCCCCTCCTTCAACCAGTTCTCCAGAAGTTGGCGTCCTCACCTGTCCTCAATCCGGTTACCAGAAGCTGATGTCCCTCCAAACCAAGTCCGCAGCGAAGATCACCGTCGCTACCACACTCCTCGACAGCCTGGCCAAGGGGCGCCTGACTCTGCGCAAGCAGGGACTGCGGGTTCCGCCCCCAGTCCCCCACCGGCCCCTACCTGGCCGGCCCAGGTGCGCCGAGCTCACGTCAGCGCCTCGCCCCAGGACGCCGCAGCCATCCCGGCCACCAGGCCACGCCTTCCATGTGTGGCCACGCCCCTTAGAGCTTCGGATTGGCGAGTTGCAAGAAATATGATACTTTGCGTTTCTGGACGGCTCCTCCCCGCCCTGCCTCTTTCCCACCCTATACCCCCGCTTCTAACCCTGGCCAAAAAAGTCTCAGATTCGGCCTACCCTGATGCCTCAGGGCTAGTGGTCCTGGGAACTGGAAGCGACTGGGAGGTCAGATCTAAGTCAAGAGGGTGCCTCCTCTCCTTCATGCCCCATAATTACCCTGAGGTATGGAGACAGTTAAGCACAAACAAGGGTTTTGAGATTCTAGGTTGGCCCCACTATTTGTGGGCCTGTGTTAAGGGGAATTGGATGTGGGGAAAGGACTCTGGACAGTTGGCATTGACTGGGAGAAGCCACATGACTACCAGGATTGGAATTCTGCCTTTACTCTGCCTCTCACTCCTGTGACCCTGGGTAAGTTACTTCGTTCCTTAGTTTCAGTTTCCTCACCTATTCAGTGAGGATAATAATTCCTTCCTTTCCTAATCACTATCGTGTAATATTAAGAGCATAAACCCTGAAGTCAACTACTGGGGTTCAAATCCCAACTCCGTCAGTTACTACAGACTTGTGGACGTTTTTTAAGCTCTCTGGGCCCCAGTTTCTTATCTGTCGAATGAGTTTGTTAATAGAACCTACCTAAACTGTGTTGTGGAAATTCAATAAATTATTACATATAAAGTGCTTGCAACCGTTTTTGGATCTTACAAAGTGCTATATGTGTACTTGCAGTTTTTGTTGGTGTAAGGATGAAAAGTACCATATAGACAATACCTCACAGAATGAGAGGGTATCCCTTGTTATTACCTGAAGTTAAGTCCTGTGTGTCCCTAACAAGTGCTTGATGAGAGTTCCCTCATCTTCCCTGTCCATCTAAAGCATAGGTCCCCAACTCCTGGGCCACTGACAGGTAACAGTCAGTGGCCTGCTAGGAACTGGGTGCCCAGCAGGAGGTGAGCAGCAGGCAAGCAGAACTCTGCCTTCTGTCAGATCAGCAGCTGCATTCGGTTCTTATAGGAGCACGAAACCTATTGTGAACGTTGTATGCAAGGGATCTAGGTTGCATGCTCCTTGTGAGAATATAATGCCTGATGAGCCCCTCTTTCTCCCCCCACCCCCATCCACGGAAAATTGTCTTACATGAAACTAGTCCCTGATGCCAAAAAGAGTGGGGACCACTGATCTAGAGGACATGCTTGCAGGGAGCTGTGCAGCAGTAAATGAGTTGAATTGCCCACCCTCAAGCACTGAGCTGTCACAGAAGAAATGGGGCATGAGCAGGTTACTTAGGTTTTGGTGTTTAAAGTAATGAGTAAGAAACTGAGACCATGAAGTGGTATAATGAGTTGAATTGTGTTCCCCACCAAAAACAAGTCATTTGTTGAATTCCTAACCCCTGGTGTCTCAGAATGTGACCTTATTTAGATACAGGATCCTTACAGAGGTAATGAAGTTAAAACTGGGTCATTAGAGTGGGCCCTAATCCAATATGGCTGGTGTCCTTATAAAAGGAAGAGATTTGGACCTAAAGAGAGATACCCATAGAGGGAAGATAATATGAAGGGACAGAGAGAATACAGCTATCTATAAGCCAAGGACAGAGACACATCTGGCTAAGAAATTCTCAGACTCAGGACTAGTGACCTAATGACACCTTGATTTTGGACTTCTAACTTCCAGAACTATGACACAAAATGTGTTTGTTGGTTAAGCCACCCACTCTGTGGTACTTTGTTATGGCAGCCATTGTATACTAATACAAGTGTATTGGAGAGCCCCAGATTGATAATAATGTAGACTTGATTCCTAGTCCCAATTTAGACTTGGGGTGTAGCCAGCAAGCACTGGGAAGGCAGCAAGGCCCTGAGGTCTGACTCAGCCAGGCCTCTGTCTCAACCACTGCCCTATGGCCACTCTTCCCTTCACTCAGGGGAAGGGCTAGCTCATCAGCACAGACAGCTCTTTATTGCTGATGAGCTCACTGGACAAGCAGCATCTTCCATCTAGCCTGGGGCTGGTATCTTGAAACCAAGCAAACTCCACTGTTTGTATGAGAGATGGAAGGGAGAGGGGGCAAGACCACTGGGAGAGTGTTGTTTGAGGAGAACCAAAAGCCCAATGACATACAAGGATGAGCCCATACCTAGCCACTCACTTTTGCTGTAGCTGAAATTCCCATGACTATGGTGATCTCTTAAAGATCTTCTTTAGAAGACACATATTTTAGAATCAAAAGATTCAGGGTGGGAGGGTTCTTGTAGATTTTCTAGTTCAGGGATAAAACTGGCTTAGCTGGTTTTTCCCCACACAGTGCTTTGAATATCAGGAGATTTCACATAAACTTCCAGATTCGGAGCAAATCTTAAAGAATGAAGGACTCTGGAAACTGGCCAGCAGTTTCACCTGGCAACCGCTGCCCATGTAGAGGGAGTCGACACGTTACAGTCAGGACAACCCCACCCTATTGAGCTCACTCATTTACTTTAATTGTCTGACACTGTAGGCATCTGAGTTTGTGACCTCTAGTTCAGATTTCCCTTTTTGTAGATGAGAAAACTGAGGCCTAGAGAGGTCAAGTGATTTGCTCAAGGTTGCAGAGCAAATTCGCTACAAAACCAAGACTAGAATCCAAATCCAGAGCTCTTTCCATCTGAACCCTGCTCAGCATTCCAGTCAGGGTCTATTCTGATTGGCCCTGTTAACTATTTAGAAAGACAGTCACTCATGGGACCAGGCACTGTGGATATTGCAGTTGACAAAACAAGGTCCCAGCTCTCATGTCACTCAACTGAAGAATCAATGAAAGGGCATAAAGTAGGAGAAATTAAGGTGGCAACCAGGAGGAACTTCCTGGCTCTTCAAGTGATAAGCCCTGGCAATAGTCTAACCTGAATTCTTGTTTTCTTGAGACACATCTGCTTGGTCTAGGGAATAAAAACATCTTGTGAGTCTTTCCAAAAGCTCCTGAGGAATCAGGTTTTTTTGTATTCTCAGAAGAGCCCCATTGAGAGTCAGACATCCCCAACATGGCTTGGGCCTACAATGCTCCCATCATTTTTGCTCCCATCAGTGCTCAGATAGGACATTGCTGACTCACTTGTGAGTATGAGTTTCAGGCAGTGGGATGTGCTTTTCAGCACAGGAGCCCTGATTCACAGCCACAGGGAATCAGGCAATTCCCCTCTCCTGCTCCCAGTCAGCTCTTATTTGTTAGGGAGGGGTTTCTTTCACCACCTGGAGACCTTAAATATAATATTAGACATGTGACAATAATGCCATGAACCAAAATCTCACTCTCTCCTTGGTAGAGCAGAGGGTGTGGCAACTGGGAATCTTTCCAAAGGCTGGGTACAGTAGAGACCTTAGTCTTTCTGGAGTCAGTGAGAGCAAATTATCTGAGGCTAGACTGCATTTTGGTGGGGCTGCTAAAGTGGGGGGTAGCAATCCAATTCTGTGTTCTTTCAAGAGAACTCAGACCCCCCCTCAGCCTTCAGGAAGGCATTCTAGAACCCATCAGGTCTATACTAACTTCTCTCTTAGCCCTTGCTCATCTCCGTCTCTATCCAAGTATTTTAAGGTGTATTAGGGCTACAGTTGAGCCTAATACATTGCCTAAACCACAGCCTAAACTGTAATGTACATTGGTCTTGCTCTCTTACTGTCCCTCTCTCTGTTCCCTTACCCTCTGTGGATTGTGTTCTAGAATACACCCCAATCCTAGAAGCATCAAGATGGCAGGGAATTGCAGCAGGCTGGCAATGGAGAAATAAATGAATCTCATTTCCAACCCAAGCAATGATACAGACTTTGGCTTAGGATCTAGGAGACTTCCCATTGGAGTGTTCAGAGTTATTTGTTTCTCTCTTTTTAATCTTGAACTAAGCTGAGCACTGGAAAGTGTTCTCAAAGAAGCATCTTTCTTTATTCCAAACTTGGATCTATATAGAAGGTGGAGGAGAAAAAAACAAAGCTGAGTAAATTACTTAGAAGTAAGTTCTACTCTGGGGCCTTCCTCCCTTTCTTCCTCTCCTTCACTGCAAATATTGAGAATGCACTTCCCTTCTCCCCCTGGCATGGGGAGTAAATTGGCTCTGCAGACAAAAGAGCCAAATGAGAATCTAATAATCACCATAAATGTGAGATTCAGAGTTCTGATTTCAAATCTGCTGACCTGTTGGGACAGAGCAGGGGACTGATTTTGGCTTCAAGGTCTGCACCAAGCAAACTATTCTGCGATTATTTGCTGCTTTGAAATGAAATAGTGAATGTGAAAGTTCTCTGAAATGGGTGGAGTGTGGTGTGAACACAGCAACCATCACTGCTGTTATCTGCTCTTTGTTCCCTCTGTGTAAATCATTCACTCCAATCTGTCAAGTCCTGAGGGCAGCCAGCTCAGGGCAAATGGAACTCTTGTGAGCCAGGAGCCCCTAGCACAAAGCTCAGCATGAGCTATGTGGGTTCTGGACAGTGTTGATTTCAGAAAAATGAAAACTCAGGTGATACAGAATTGTTGAGGGGCAGTGTGATGACAACGTGGACTTCTGCTCAATATGAATGACTGACCAAACGTGTTTTTCTCCTCTTACTTTCCAGACCACCCCAGTACAATGACAATGAAGGAAAAATTTTAAAAATAACCTATAAGGTTAAGAGAAGACAAAGTAAATATATTAACCTACAAAGCTAAGAAAGGACAAAACATGGGAGGGGAAAAAAGAAGGGATGTGAGATTTCAATTAAAATATTAGGAGACAAAATATTTCAACAAAAAAGAGAGTGGGGAGGGGTGATGTTTTGGTTATAAAGCTTTCAGTCCTGTTTGATTCTTAAAGCTGATCTAACCTGAACATTAACCACAATAGCACAAGTGGGGGATCAGCAGTTGCAGAATACTGTGGGGTTGTGAGGGCTGGAGGGAGAGGTGGGCAGACATAACAAAGGGTACCTGGTCCTAAACCAGAGGAAGTGAGGACCAGTTGA